AGCAGGAAACAAGATCCTGAGGGCAACTCAGTGTAAAGAAATATCAAGCGGTGTCTAGGCAGGGATAAAGAACAAAAGGAGAATTGCATCATCATTGGTCAAAAGCTATAAAATATTGAGCATAAAGAGTTGGAGGCTATGTTAGATTAAACTTTAAAACCTACAACTCTGCTTATGGAGGTAGAAAGGTAAAAACATTTAGAAGGCATTAAGAGAGGTTCCAACCACAGCTGAACACTGTGCTTAAGGATTAGTGCAGCTGTGGTGCTCAGGTGAGAAGCTCTTCACTCCTCTCAAAAAAAGCTATTACAGAGCTGGAGAAGGTTCTGCAAACAGGCAGGAAGATACAAGGATTTAGGAAAAAAAGAGATTACACAGGGACCTAATTAAGATATACACAAGTTTGGAAAGAAGCAGACATGACATACCATACAAAAGTTTGAGTGCACATCAAATACAACAGGAATAAATACTGGCTTGAGCTACGAGATGAGAGAATTGAGACAGGTTTTTCAGTTCATGTATCATAATTTAAACTACATAGAACATTCAGGCAGATATATTGAATTATATAATTAAAAAATGAATAGTATATTTTTTGAGATATCAGCAGTATTAGCTTATCAAGCCTTTCCTTGGAAAGCTAAGGCAGCATTCATTATGCTGTCAATTGAGTAGATCATAAATACACACTATTTCTTAAGATTTTCCCCTTATGTAGAAAAGTAACCACAAACGTATATACCTATAAAAGTAACCTCTGCAAAAGTCTTCATCACATCTGGTACACCACATGGCCTAGGAAACAGCCAGAGTCCCAACGACATGGAGATAACCACCCTGTCTTTTGGATGCAGACCCTGGCCCATCACCTGCACCCAGCACCTCCTGGTCCCTGCGCAGCGCCCAGTGACCCAAGGCTTCGCTCCCTCCCGCTCCTGCTCCCTGGGACAGCAGAAGCTTTATAAGACAGTTATGCTACAAGATGACAGCACACACAAACACTGCATTAATACCTTATATTGCAAAACATAAAGCAGCCAGTCTAATCAGTTCAGACCAACAAACTAGATTTTAAACACTTTCTTTACTTTGCCTTTATCTTGGAAGGCTCCAGTCAGAGCCAAAACCCAATGAGACGCCTGCGGCCCCAGCCCCCCCGTGGGAAACAGAGCAGGGGAACAGAAGGCAAACACAATCATTTGTACCTCCTCTATCCTTGGAAAGCTTTAGAGAAAAATCAAAAACTGGAAATGTTGCAACCATCAAAAGCAGAAATATAAACAGGAAGAAAATAGATTTTTTTTTTTTTACCTGAGTAAGAAGTATTTCTGTCCTTCCACTGAACATTTTTGCACTTTATTTGATTTTGTCTCTCTTTCCGCAGCCGTTCTAGTCTCTGAGCTTGAAAAGAAATATTATAACTATAAGTTTGTCAATGAAAGTTTACTATAAACAAAGACATAATTAACTACCTTTATATGAATAAAGATGTTTTATACTGCATATGTAGGGGAAAAAGTAATAAAATTTTAAAGGTGGCACCCCTGAAAAGCAAATACCAACAAAAACATGAAAATGTTCTTGATTTATAATTGAAATTAGAGGATATAAAACATTAATAGAGATCATAAAGATAGTATTAACATGGAAGAGAATAATAAAATGTGAAAACTTCTGTGATTAATATGACATTTCATTATATAAATCATTAATAACGGTCTTAAAGGAATTTTAATGCACAAATGAACTGAAGTGAATATTACATTACAGGAATAAAATTACTGTTATGAATTACTCTACCCGTTTCAAAAATTAAAGATAAATGAACTCAGACTAGACTATTAAAGTTTTAAATATAAAATCCTTTATCTAAAAATCATGAAAATTATAAAATGTCAAAGCTATATAAATTAGCATAGCTTTTTCTTTAGTGTGCTGGAACAGTTTATAGGTAGTAAAACAAATGATTTGTATCTTCACAACATTAGTCAAATCCTAAAATGAATATAATATTTCTTTATGTATATTTTGACTCCATGTTCAAAATACAGTTTGAAAAAAGCCTCAAGTAGTTATAATGTCAAAAACTTTCAAGCCAGGGTACCAGATTAATAACTTAAATTTTCTGCTACCAGCAAGATCTCCCTCAGAAAATGGTCAACCGAACCTGGCAGAAGACACTCAAGACAATGACCACAAGAAATAACTGATGTTCTGAAGTGTCCACTCAAAATAAGAAAGCAGATTAGACTGGGAAGTAGGGCTAATAATGTTGATCATTGAAGGAAACAATTTGCTGGATATAGTAGCAATTTTGATGTATTGAGATCATTAATTAACTAAAATGGATTTGTAGAAGAGATTCTAAAATTCTAAATTATTCTGACAATTTTTAGATACAATTTGAGCTTCCTGAGCCATTTCACCAATTAAAAAACATTAATAATATTTTATATTCCCCCTATTATTATTCTTTTACATTTAGCCTTTGAACTAAATTGTGAATACAGAAGTTAATTTTTTTGGTCCCATAAAAACTGAACTGTTGAAAAAAATCCAACAACTTTGAGGTTTAACAGCTGTAACAACAGCCTGAGGTGCAAACACATAGGAACTGTCATGCCTACATCCCAGTTAAGTCAACATGAGGTTAGTGCCTAAATACCTCTATGTATCTTACACTCTTAATGAAATAAGATGTATCATCACAGGTATGCTTAAATACTGGGTAAAAAAACTTTGTAGTGTAGGTCTTTTATTCTGAAAGAAAAAGCCTTTTTTATTTTTCCAATTACTGTCCAGACTGCAGGTCAAAATTACCTTCCAAAAACCTTCTTCCCATGGGTCATCATAAAGTATGATAGATTCATATGCAAATGATGGATGAAGAAAAACACATATATAAATAAGTACAACACCTGTTTTAATCCTACCTGATGTTTTCAGCCCTTGTCCAAACAAACACACTGGAGTGCAGTGACCATCTCTACCACCTCCACCCTATTCTACTCTCTACATTTGGCCACAAATTATCATTTACCATGGGACTGTATTACTGCAACTCCAAGTTAAATGGAATGATCAGCACCTATTAGAAATCTGAATTATTTAAGGTTCATTCCCACAAGAAACATGTTAGTTTGAAAGCTTTCTGTGTGAAAAATGTTACTGACCAAGTGCAGTTCTTGTTTCATTAACTATTAGCAACTAGATGAGCCTTTGTTTCTAGTCACGTGGGTTGGGAGAACTTTCCTGCTGTCCCACATCCCCAGCACTCTGGACAGAGCAGGCAATGAGGAGATGGAGCCCAAGCCCAGCCCTGACCCAGTTGGCTCCTGGAGAGCAGGAGGCAGGATTCCAGGGCAGCCAGCCCCGTGCCTGGCACACCCACTGCACATCCCTTCCAAGACTAAGGGGGAACTTTGATACTAGAATGCACCTAAAGTTAATTTCCAAATTTGCATACCTACAAAAACCACCTATCAACCAACAATGCTTAGCCTCTGCAGAGATGGTTGAGTCTTCTACAGTAACACATTATTACTACAATTTATGAAAGAGATATTATCCTAGTAAGGTACTTATTATAAAAAGACTTTTGCAAAAGCTAATCAGGATCTACTCCATCCAAAACCAATGGTTAAAGACAGCAGAAGCTATTTTATTCAGCAGGGTATAGACCCAAAGAGCATAAAAAAGAGCTTGCAGGCTAAAGTTGGCAGCTATTACCTGTTGATACACAAAAATATACTACCTTCTCTTTCCAAACCTAAAAACCATTACTTGATTTTCCAAGAACAAATGTTCTTGCTCTTGTTAAATATATTCAAGTAGTTATGGATTAAGTAAAAAAAGAAGTGACCTTACATTTGCCCACTTTAGGAGCAAAAATTTTAGATTTCACAGGTACTGAGTTTTTGTACTTATATATGAACAGTTTGTTCTATGCACATATAAATCTTCCATCAAGAACTTAGATGAGCACTTGTGTAATGCAAAAAACATTTAGATTAAAATAGTTAATTTTCTATTTCATTTATTCTTTTTCCTGTATTTTTGAACAGGGTTCAGTACTGATCAACTTGCATTCTTTGTGGGCATTTTTCCACCCCACTCTGTCTCAAATAATAGCCCAATTGCCTTGACACCTGCATTAGGTTCCTGGCAGTACCAGTGCAAACAATGGAACACGCTAGATGACAAGAAGCAAAACCTGGCTCCTCCACAGACTGCGTGTCCTGACCTTTGTTCTAGAATATACCACCAATTGGAAACAGAAATGGTTTCAATCCATAATTTAATTGGAGATTATTCTATCAGCCACTTGGTGAAACTATCCATCACAATTATTTTTTGAGTAATTCTATAAACATTTAAACTTTGCCTCTCCTTCCGCATAAACTGTACCATCAAACTAGACAAGACCTCCAGGACAGCGTGAGGCTGGCACACCCTGCTTTTCACTGTGCCTTACAGGCAGTTGCAGCTACATACTCAGCTTATTTCCAAATCCTACTCTTCCATCACAAGAGATCAGTGCCTTGTCTTTCTGTAAGTTTTGATAACCTACTTGTAAAAGGTATTCAAAGATACTAAATGTCATACAACCTTTTACTTAGGTAGAGCAGAGATGTTTTTTCTGAGCTCTAGGTGGTGTTATAATACCTTCAGAAATAATTTGAAAAAAAAATACACTGTAACACAGAAAAGAAATCAGTACTGACCACCCCACACTAGCTTTTTCAAATCTATTTTATACCCAGAACTTCTGATTGCAGCATTCCTTGGGAATAAGGAGTCTAAAAGGAGTCTAAATATCCCTCAGATGAAAAAAGTAGGACAGTTTTCTTCCAGTCAAGACAGTGTGATTTCAGAAGGTGTACACCCTTAAGCTTCCTACTTTGGTAACTTAAATCCTACCTCAAGATTCTTCTCAGAAATAAAATTTCAGAAGACAAAACACATACAAACCATTCACTTTGTTGGCTTGCACCAAACTTCATTCCCCTCTTTTATAAAAAATAGATTTGATGCGTCAGTAGGTAAATTTTCTCTGAAATAACTATCCTGTTCAAAAGTTAACATCCCTCCAGACATTAACAATAGAAATATCAGAGACTGTTCAGGTACTTTGGATTTAAACTTGATGTCTTTACAATTTACAATTTTTCATTTATAAAACGGACTATCCCAACGTCCCTCTGCACATGAATACACAAAACAGCCATTAAAACTCAGCTGACAGCACACTGACTGAATCATTGCATGTCCTTGTATAAAAGGGTCTTGACATCACAAATGGAAAAGTTTGACAGACACCTCTCTAGTCATGCTTCGATTTGTCCATGCAAGCCTGGCTAAGAGAAATTGAACTCAGAAGATGAATGTTATCTTGGCTGCAACCTTCACCTACCTGTGTTTGATCGTCTTCTGATTCCAAAGTCCCAGCTTGAGGTAATATCAACTGATTGGGAGTACACGTAGCCCTGAGTCTCACCATTGCTCCCCTGTGTTTCTGACCCACTGTCCCCATATGCTGATGAGGGATTAAACTTCTCAAGGTCGACATCATGATCTATCAGGACCATTTCACACATCCCTGTGTCATCACTGGTCACATGTGACTGCCGAATATGAGCAAGAATAATTGTTGGGTTGTCCAGGAAAGCCATTCTGTCCACAAGGCCACCACTTCACTCTACTATCTCCTCTCCATCTTGTTTCATGGACACCCGTACCTAGAAATATAACATACACAGCATTTTAGGAAAAAAAACCCAAACAACCACAAAAAAACCCCAATCAAAACCCTGATTCAGAAAGGCTTATCTTTCAGATGCACAAAACCCAGCTGACTCAGTTTTGTACTATGAATTATTTTAATTTTGCTCCAGTTTGCTTAAGTTACAGTGTTTGCTGAGATCCACTTAAAGAACAGGGATTTTGAAAGACAGCTTGAAACCTGAATTCCGAGACAACAGAACACAGTAGACACCTACAGACAGGTCCCATTATTGTCCAAGTGGTTGCTGCAAGGCAAAACATTCCAGGAGCTACACACAGAAGGACAGACATAAAACACACACTAGACACATCTGTCCATTCAAATTAATAAATTTACAAAATCAGATAGGGTTTTGAATTTCTTTTCACCCATCATATGAGTGTTACTGTTTTTCTTCTGTGTCTACAAACCAACTCTTTGATTACTTTATTATAGACCCTCTTCAGTTTTTGCATTTCCAGAAAAAACTTTAAACATTAAGAGATTAATATCTCAGGGCAGGATATTGAACATCTGCGTGGCACTTCATACAGGGCAACTGTTGTAATACAGAAAAAGCTCCATGATCATAGACCACATGCCTGAATTCTTAAGCACTTTAACATCAGTAATTGCCACTTACCTAAAATATTTCATTCAGAGTACTCCAGCAGCCTCAAAGCAAAGCAGAGGGCAAAAAAAAGAAAAGAAAAAACAAACCACAAAACCCAAACCACACTCAAACTGCTTTATCCTATTATACTGTACCTGTGGATTTATAGTTATGTTGGATGGGTCTGAGCTCACAGAGATGCAAAACTAGATGGGAAATCCCCACTGCTTTCCTACTCTTTTGTGTATCTGAGGAAAAAACCCAACATTTTAACACCTGCTATAGAACTAAATGTCTTCAGTATTCTGAACACAGAAAACCCAACAACCCCTGTCCCTGCTGTTTGTAAAACTTATGGCAGCAAGAAGAAAATATCAAAGGAAAAGAAACAATTTTAAGTCACACAAAGCCACATCCCATGGAAATCAGGCCAAGGCAGCTGGCCTTTTCCTGGCAGATTGCAGCAGAAGAAAGCAAAAGAACACCTCACAGAGGCTTGTTCAGGACCAGCAAACACTTTACATCATTTCCCCTGGATGCTTCCACAGGGAAAGGTGTATTAACATGCAGAGCCTCCTGAAGCAGCTTCTGCATTTAAATATTTGGAAGCAAAAGTAATACTTCATTTGCCCACCGATCTGATCTAACGACAAAAGCAGAATTTTGAAGATGTATTGTAAACTGCAAACCCACCCCCCTGCCAGTACCCTCCCTCACAACAAACATCAGCATCTGCTAATTAGAGCACTCCATAAACAGAGATTTACAACCTTCATAATTTTAGGCCTTTTTTACTCCCTTGGCCACATATATTGCCTTCTTTTTTTTTTTTTTTTTCCTGAGAGACTCTGTCCTTTCTGTGTTAAAAAACAGACAAATTCCAAAGTATTATATTAAACAACAGACCCAGCAGCAAGAAGGAATTCAATAAAATAATGGTAGAGAAATAAGTGACATGCTGCTTGTTATTAATACACTACTCCTACATGTTAATAAATTATGCTATTAGCTAAACATGCTCCACCAGTATCCGTGGAGATCTTCAAAGCCCAATTGGACAAAGCCCTGAGCAACCCGCTTTAGATGGGCTCTTCTGGGAGCAGGGAGGCCTGGATCTCCAGAGGTTCCTGCCGACCTCAGCAACGCTGCGACTCCACGTTCCATTTTTTATTTTCTATTTCCATTACAGAAAGTAGGCCTGCTCTCCCCGAAGGATTCCTCATTGTCCTCAAAGCGAGGGGCCATAAGGCAAATATCCTGCCTGAAGGCAGCCATCTCCTGGCTGTAATTTACGTGTGAAACGCCTTGAAGCCCTAACATTGTGGCAGCTGTTGAGACTTGGAGATACAGCCACAACCAAGTACAGAGAGTATGGATATTTTTTAAAGTGCACGGAGAATGTTTTCAAACTTAATTATTTACACACCACTTCTTAGAAAAGGCCAGGCTTACCTGCAAGCAGTAAGAACTTGTTTAAATAAGCAACCGCTTTAGGCTTCTAAAAGGTCTGCAAACTCCCAATCAAAAATTACTGCTGCCCCATCAATGTGTCATATAAACGTTGGCATGTTAATTGTGTATTTATAAGATTGCTAATGGTTAGTTAATTTACCTCCCACACTATTATTGTACTTGAAATGATTTAATGTCTGCTAAGGGAGTTAACAACATGTAACAGCAGATGCGAGGATTTTACCTTTATACTCTGCACCCCGACTTCATCCTATTAATAATCCCTGTGCTAAATCACCCGAGCTTCTCTGCAGTTTTACATTCGCAATCACTTTTCCCTTAAAAAGTGAAAAATTACTAGAAACTCCATTTCAAACAATAAAGTTTAATACTATTTTTTGTCCTCCTCTTCAAAATTTTCAAAATGACACATTAAAACTAATTTCTCAAAAAAATAATGTTAACTGAAAATTCTGTGAACAGTTAACACCTCTAAAGAAAAATGTTCACACCCCAAAACTCAGTTCAGATTTTTACACCATATTTCAGTTCTCTGTGCAGTTCTAGCTGGCTCCTCCTTTTGGTAAAGGCAAAACACAGTGAGATGGCACAGCCCTGGTCTCAGGAGCAATGAACCCATACGAAGTAGAATTCAGAGGATGAAAGTTCAAGTTTGCAAACCTTTACACAACTACCTTGAAGCCTCCATGCCATCATTTCCAGCCAAACTACAGACACAAGATCAATTTCTAGATCTGCTGAGGTTTGCCAGCTCGCTGCCTTGTCTGCATCCCTGATACTCACACACAGCTGGCACATCCATGTGCAGTGGCTGGATTTAATGGCATTCAGAGGCTTTCAACTTACAAATTCTTTAATCATTAAAAAACAAACAAAGAGTTTTTAATACTTGCACTATATTAATATTATTCTATTATTAAATAAAATACTCTGCAATCAGCTGCCAAGCATACTCCATGCAAACACTGAAAATGAACAGTGCAGCCCACACAGCATGACAAGATACCCAGGTCAGCATTGGGATGATATCCTACTTATTGGCAAACACCTTCTGAGATTCAGCACACAGGTGGACAGAGCTGAATCAGCCCTTCACTTTCTTGACCTTTACTATTCATCTGTCTTTCTGGGTATTACCTAACCCCCTCCCTGGACATGACCCCCCTCCCTCACCTTCTCCTTGGTGTCACTCTGTACTACTGAGCCCCCAATTACTCTTGTGTGGTTGGAGAGCATCCTCAAAGATGTAAAATTGCACCATCAAGAGGCTGAACAACTCACCAGGTTTCACAGGAACTTTGCAGCAGAATCAGACAGCTGGATGTCAGTCTACTATTTTTATTGGAAGTATTCCTCTTCCAGTAACCCACTTCTATATTTATGGCATCTGTAGACTCTCACAGCAAGTGAAGCAGGGCTGCTATGCAGATCAACCTCGTCCATAATACAGCACACAGTAAGAAATGCAGAACACTTCAACAAATTATTCAGCTCCCAGCAGGTGACAAAAAGGTCTTGAGAATAGTGTGTGTAGTTATACAAGCTATACCTTGAATACACAGGTGAACACACCTGAGTTTGGGGAGGCAACTTCCTCACCACAACATACCGAGTGTCCTCGCAGCTCCTCTGCTTGCCTGACACGCTGCCTTGCTTCAAATGCAAGGAAGTGTTTCTCACTTTCCTCTCCCCACCATACCTACCCCAAAACCAAGCTGGATTTATATTCACACATTACCCTACACCAATTGTCAATGAGATACCCAAGAAAGCATGAGATAAGGGGAAAGGAGAAGCTCACACACCCGAGCCCTGCTCCTCCAGAGCAGGACCACACAGGCCATGGGGCTGCAGCCACACCTCACCCCTTCTCACTGATGTTTTCAGAGGAAAACATCTGACGTGGAGCATGAAAAACACTGAGTGCAGGTTACCTTTCTTTTGGGAAAACCCAGTTATTTTGGATTGTCCAGTTTCCTGCCATTGGTGGGGCAGCTCCCCTGGGTCTGCCCTCCTGGCCCTCAGCCCCCACGCCCCTCTCACCTGCAGGCTCTGTTACATATTTTCTGGCAGAACTGTGGACTTTGCTCAGTAAAGTGAAACTAGTGACAACAGGGACATCTTCCTGCACCACATCTGCCCTTCTAAGGAGCTCAGGTTACAAACTCTGCTCCACCAAACACGACCTGGCTGCCACTGCCTCATCCTCCACTTAACACCACCTTTTCACGATGTACAACAGCAGGGCAAAGTACACGAAATATTTTCCTCACAGCAAATGTTCTCATGCTTCAAAATGTACTACATAGAGCACACAAGAAAGCTTGCTCACAGACCTCTACCTAAGCAAGAATAAATAATAGAAACTAAAGAAAGCTGTAAACAACTAAAATGTTCTGCTTTGGGAAAGAGCCACAACTTTGAAATTCTATCAGTTCTAATGGCATAATTTTAAGAATTTGTCAGTTCCATTGACTAAAACCAGCTGTAAATTCTCCACAAAACTCTTGAGCCAATTCCTGCCAGGTTATTTTGCTATGTCAACTATAAAAGTAAAAAGGGAGAAGCAGGAAAATAAATGTCCACTCTTATTCTGCAAAGCAGTATCTCATATTTTTGTTTGTTTTTAGAAGAAAATATATTTAACTGTCCTCCTTAAGGAAGTAATAAACAAGTAAAGCCTTATTCAAGGTAAACAAAAACTTTCCAAATAAAGATGCAACTTCTGGAAGGCACAACCTGGACCTAAAACAATTACTAATAATCTCAAAATGCAGCAGGCTGGAAGGATTATACAACATTACAGGTCATCTTATCGCTCAAGGGCTTCCATAGTCAATGGACTTAAAACACCTCTCCGACTGTAGCTCTTCAAAGGAGTCTTAAA